TTCCTCGCCTGCCCTCCTCCCCTCTCCTCATCTCTTCCACTATCCTCCGCTCTTCCCCTCTCTCCCTCCCCCCTCCCTTCCTCTCCCACACCCTCTCTTGACCCCCCCTGCAAAGCCCCCTGCTCGGCTGATTGTGCCACCGCCACGCCTGCTGCTCCCCCATTCTTGCTCTCCACCTTGCCCACCCCATCTTCACCTCCCGACCTCTTGCCCTTCTCCTCCTCCTCCTCCTTCTGCTCTGTTCTCTCCTCCCTCTCCTCCTTCCTCTCCTTGCGCTCCGCCCGCCCCGCCTTCTTAACGGCGCGGAGGGCCTGCATGAAGAGAGGCAGGTCGTCGTCGTCCTCGTCCTTCTCCTCCCCAACCTCCTCTCCCTCCTCCAACTCCTCCTCCTCCTCATCTTCCTCCACCTCTCCCTCCTCCGCTTCCTGCTCCTCCTCCTCTTCCTTTGCTTCCTCCTCTTCCTCTACTTCCTCCTCTTCCTCCATTTCTTCCTCGTCTTCCTCCTCCTGTTCCTCCTGTTCCTCCTCCATTTTCCTCTTCCGCCTCTTCCTCCTCCTCTTCCCCTCTCTCAACTCCTCCCAACTCCTCCAAATCTCTCTCACCCACCTCTCCACCCCTCCCCTTCCTCTCTCCCACCCCACCCCCAACCCTCCCCAACGGCCGCCCAGACACCCTCTCCTCCACTCGCACGCTGCCACCTGTCACGCTCACAGCCACCGGTGACACCAGGCTGACGTCAGCAAGCTGCTCCACTCTTGGCCCGAGCGTGGCCGACAGCAGCATGGTCTGAAGCTTCCTGGAAGCACCCTGAGCACCCCCTCCCTGTGTCAGACCATCCTGGCTCAGCCTCTCGCGCAGCAGCGAGATGATTTCCTTGATGTCCCGCTCGAATCCCAAATCCAGCAGCCTGGGGTGGGGTGTAGGGCGAGTGATGGAGGGAGTGTGAGGGAGAGTGAGAAGGAATGAGGGGAGTGAGGGAGGAAAAGATCCTTTATGTCACGCTCGAATTCTAGGTGTAGCAGCCTGGTAGGTGGGCAGGAGGAGTGGCGGAGGGGGGTGGAGCTGAATGATGACTGATGTCGTGCTCAACTCAACTAACCCTCAGGTATCGCAGCCTGGGGGGTAGGAGGAGTGCGGGAGGGAGAGTGAAGGAGCACACGGGCCAGTGGCCACACAACGACCCGCATCACAACCCCCACCTGTCAGCCTCATCCAGCATGAGCCAGCGAGCAAGCCCAAACGAGCACGAGTGGCGCAGATGGTCCAGCAGGCACCACTATCTCTGGGGTCCACCTGCTGGTGGCTGCTGGGTGCCGCTGCCATCCACTCTAGCCTTTAGCAAGTGTTACCGCCCACCATGCCCACCTGTCAGCTTCATCCAACACGAGCCACCGCAACCTGGCGAGCCCAAACGAGCACGTGTTGCGCAGATGGTCCAGCAGCCTGCCAGGTGTCGCGATCACAATGGCCAGCCCTTTGCGCAGGCGCGCCTTCTCCTTGCCGCGGCTCTCACCCCCAATGCACCGCCCCGGCACGATCCACACGAAGCGCCGGCACAGCTGCTGTGCCACCTCCTCTATCTGCACACAGAGCTCTCGTGTTGGGGCCAGGATGACGGCTGTGAAATGTTTAGGGGAGGAAGGAGGGGGGAAGAGGGGAGAAAAGGGGAGAGGAGAACGGTGGGTGATGTGGCTTGCAGGCACGGCCCACCTGCTCTGTCTGCGCCCCCGATGCACCACCCTGGTACGATCTGTACGATCCACACGAAGCGGCGGCACAGCTGCTGCGCCACCTTCTCTATCTGCACACAGAGTTGTCGCGTTGGAGCCAGGATGACGGCTGTGAAAATGGTGGGGGAAGGAAGGGAAAGAACAATGAGGAGAGGTGCCAGCCCCTCCTGAAATGATCTAGGAGGAGAGGAAGGAAGGGAGAAAGCGGGAGGGGGGGAGGACGGAGAGGGGGGAGGGGGGGAGGGAGGAGAGAGAAATTCACTTGCAGTAATACTTACCATATGTGGTAATGCTTACTAAATGCGGCTCCACTCACCATACTTGCCGTGCTTGCCGTCCACCCTCTGTCAGCTGCCGGCCTGCAGAATGGGCGCCAATAATGCATGAAGGTATGCTTACCATATGTGGTAAGACTTACCATAAGTGCCGTGCTTGCGGTCCACGCGCTGCCTGCAGGCCTGCAGGGCGTGTAGAATGGGCGCCAGATACAGCAGCGTCTTGCCCGAGCCTGTGTCCGCTCGAATGAGCCTGCGAGGGTGTGGGAGGAGACGCAGGCAGGCAGGGAGAAGCGTGTGATGCAGCAGCAGCGATAGCAGCCGATACAGCAGCGATAGCAGCCGATACAGCAGCGATAGCAGCCGATACAGCAGCGATAGCAGCCGATACAGCAGCGATAGCAGCCGATACAGCACCGCCTTGCCCGACCCCGTGTCCGCTCGGATAAACCTGCGGTGTGGGAGGGGAGGGAGGGCAGGGAAGGGGGAAGCAAGAGGCGTGTGAGAGGGCAAGAAACTAGCTTGGATTTGTATGAAAAGTCATCTCAGGAAAAGCAACAGGGAGAGGGTGAGAGGTGCAAGGAGGGTGAGAAGGCCATGAGGGAGAGGGCAGGGAGGGCGAGAAGACAGAGAAGGTCAGAGCGAGCTCACAGGTCTCTGCCAGCTCACAGGTCGCAGAAAGGATAGAGACGCGCTCACAGGTCTCTGCCAGCAAGGACGTGGGGAATGGCTGCCTGCTGCACGTGCGTTGGTGCTGCGAACCCCAGCTTCTCTGCGAGGGGGGTAGAGGCGAGGGTAGAGGGGTGGGCGGAGGGAAGGGCGGATGGGGGTGGTGGGGGTTTAGGGAGGGCAGAAAGGTTTTGTCTGGCGCAGGGTTTAAGAGGCGCTAAGATTATCTGGCACGCACGGATCCACGCACCTTCAATGTGCGTCGCGAGCGTCTCGCAGAGCCCAAGGTCCGCGAATTTCCCTGACGAAAACACAACGCCCGAACCCCCCTCCGCTTCCGCGCCCTTCCGCTCCGCCGTTTCCCCCCCCGCCTCGCTGCGCCCCCCGTCCCCCGCGTACCCCGGAACTTTAACCTCTCTCCAGCTCCCCTCGTGTCCCCCATTTTCCCGCCCCTCTAGCGCCGAACCTAGCACCTTCTGCCCCTTCTGTCCGCCCCACGCTTCACCGCCCGTTCTTCCCCCGTTTTGGCGGAACGCTGAAAACCCTCTCCCCGCGCCCCTCCCCCGCTGCCTCCCGGCAAATGCCCCCACCGCTGCCCTTCCCCCCCTCCCTCCCCGGAAAGCCCCGCTGGAATCTCCGCCAGGATCACCCTTTTCCGCCGCTCTCTGGAAAGCCCCGCCCCAACCTCCGCCTTGAGCGCGCGCACCATCCTCGCCCCAACTCCGCCCACCACCTCTGCCACCCGCCCCCCCTCTCCTGCCTGACATCGGCACGCTGTGCTCAAATCTCCGGCCCTTGAAGATCCGCCTATTCTACTCCGCGCCAAGTGCTCTGCCTCGTGAAAGAAGATTTGTTACAATCCGTCTCACGTGACGCTGGATGCTACCCGCGCCGATCAAGGAGTAGGTGTTTATTTTTCTCTGAGGGTGGGGGAAGTTCATGGGATGGTGTGAGAGTTGGAGGGGTTTATGCGAGGTGTCAGGCTAATCAGGGTTCAGGGTCGGGGTGGAGCGGAACCCGCTTTGAGTGGCTCCCGTTACGCGCAGAGTTGTCCATTTGTGCAAGGTAATTGAATTTCCTGAACTCGTTCGTAGATTGACCATTCAGTAATATCACAACCAGAAAAAAATCATCTATTAGTGGGAGCATGGGCAGCCACAACTGCCCCCCCTCCCCCTTCTTCCCACTTTCCCCCCTTCCCTTCCCACATGGCCATGTACGCACTACCCTTTCTAATGGTGGGTTTCGATGCACTGACTCGTGCATACAAGTTAGAACCTTTTTCCAATGCAATCACCTACCACCATTCGCTGCTCACTCCCCACCACCATCTTCCTCGTTGCCCTCGTCGTCACTCGACAACAGGGTCACATATCCCTCTCCACCACCACCCCTCGCACCCCCTCCCACCTCCACAACATCCCCCTCCCCTCCCTCCTCCTCATCCCCACCCCCATCCGTTCCCTCCTCCCCATCCGGCCCCTCCCCACCATCCCCCTCCCCGCCCTCCTGCTCTCCTCTCCGCCACGCGCGGCGCTGCAGGTTCACCTTGAGCAGGAGTTACACACATTTACACAAATGTGATGGCAGTCAGAACACGGCACAGATGTTCCACACCACATACACTCCAAAGAAACTGAATAGGAGCAAGTGCAAAGTTCAGTCTTGATGCAATTGGTAATCGATAGAGATAAATTTACCGATGACACATTAATTTGTGTAATTGTTATTCAAAGTTCATTGATTTCCTTATCATCCTTCGAAATCAGGATGGGTCATGGATTTCATCAACTAACTTCTTTACTTTTAAAACCGCACGTCTTTTGTTTGGAAAATGCTTGTACTGAATCATGAGTTCTCGAAGCGCCTTCCTTGGCCTTCACGTTTTTTGCCAGAGCTGACTCCACATGCCACGTGGATTACTGCTCAGGCAGGTCCATGTTGGCGGGAAACCCACAGTCACGTCTTAGCTTCGGCATGCATGCCATGCCAACAGGTTCCCCGCTAAGCTCAGCGTCGATTGGCCAGATCGTCCCGATCTCATTTGTCCATTTTCACATCATGGCATGACCCATCCGTTTGACTTGAAGCACTCCACCCCAGACCTCAACACCTGACACAAGAGAGTGATCTCAAGGGAGAAGTTTGTGTTGCATTCTAGTGTTTTTTTGCATGCAGGACCTCGTGAGGATATGGCGGCATTGCGCGTTTCGTGAAAACTATGACGTTGTTCCGTCACAAATTGCCAGCAGACACTTGTTCCCCTCTTACCATATCCATTAGTGACTGCTGAAAGAGCAGCGTCTAGGCGAACAAACCGGCCACCATGTTTAAGGGACTAAGGACGAAAAAGGAGAGGTTCGACTTTAGGTTCCGGTTCCACGCGACGCGGGTAAGTGAAAACACCAACGTCCGCTGTTTAAAAACTATCGGCGCATGTCGTTTTCATCATCCGGAAAACAATTTCCGTCCACCCCTCGCTTGTATTCAGGTACCGGCGTCTGGCTTCGACAACCTCGTGGTGTTCGTCGTTCCCGCGGATTCCGGCAAGCCCGAGGGGCAAACCCCCAAGGCAACGGTCAAGAATGGCTCGTGCGCGTGGAGCGGGTCGGTCACCATCACCACGAAGCTCACTCGCCACGCCAAGGCCAAGGCTTACGAGCCCAGGCCGTACCGCTTCGTCGTCTCGTCCGTAAGTGCTCGTTACAATCGTGAGACGTTCCCTTTCTTCCTGGTATCACCGTACTGTTGCCTAGTCTTTCATAGCCATGTCTTTCATAGCCGTGTCTTTCGCTTTTTGCCACGAGGCTTCGGTCAGACGGTTATGTCCGTGACTCAATTCCCGTCTCCTTCGATATACGGAACCCCCCCTTCCACTTTTACAGAACTCGTTGCGATCGGGCGTGCTGGGTGAGGCGACGCTGAATCTAGCGGAATTCGGGGGATTCGGAGGGCTGGATCAGCGAACGCTTCCCTTGAAGAACTGCAACGCTGGAACCATCCTTCATGTAAGGCGGCTGCTCCAAGTAGGTGGGGCAATGGACAAGAAAGGATTGGAGAAAGAAGTACAATCGAAAGCAAGCAAGAAAAATAAAAGAAGTACAATCGAAATAGCAATCAATAAGGCGTTTACTAATCTCGGTGGTTCATACGCGCGTGGTTATGCTCCTTCAGCAATCGGTTTGTAGGCTGAGGAGGAAGTGAGGATGAGAGGAGTCGCTGTAGTTGCTCGTGACAAGCTCCTCTGCTAACTCACTCGGCATTCTGTCCCACTGCTTGTGCCTTGCAGGCCACAGTTCAATGCACGGCGCTCGACCCAAGGTACGACCCGCAAAACTGTTCACCATCTGCAACCACGCCGCGTCATACCCCCCCCCACCCACCCCCCCCCTCCCCCTCTCCTCGCAACCCCCAATGCTAGCCGCAGACGTTTGCCCACTCTTTTCCCGACCGCCACGCGAATCAAATAGAGTCTTGTATTGTAGGCTTTCCTTCGTTGCCCATTTGACGAGCCGGTAGCTGATCTATTCTCCGTGTGCGCGGGGGGGCGTGGTGCGCGCGTGCAGGGACGACGACGAGAGCGAACACGAAGAGGTGGCCCCGAGGAGGGCGGCACCGGGGGCCGCTAGTGGCCGCCACGGCGCCGCTGCGGGAAAGGCGGAAGCCATTACTGCTGCGGCTGCTGCCGCCGCCGCCGCCGCTGCTGCGGGTGGCGGCAAGGGACGGGCGGGAGATGCGCAGGTAGGCGAACACGTTCGTGCGTCGTCTCGTCGCCTTATTGCTGTAGGCGTTCCGCTGCATTCTCTCCATTCATCGCCACTCCGCGGTCACTTCCCTCCCCGCCCACCATGTGCTTGCGCAGAAGCATCATGTTCAGGCCGCAAAGCAGCAGGGCGAGGGGGTGAAGCAGGCGCAGCGGCAGGAGGCGCAGAGACAGGAGGCGCAGCGGCAGGAGGCGCAGCGGCAGGAGGCGCAGCGGCAGGAGGCGCGGAGGCAGGAGGCGGAAGCAGCCAGTCAGCCCGTTGTTCGTCCCACCCCAGACGTCCCTCCTGCACCCTCCCAGGTCAGTGTGCCTTTTGTGGTGCCGTTTGGGCGACGTTTCAAAGCATTTTGGATGCCAATTGAACGCACAGGGTGACACACACGTTGAACGCGTAGGGTGAACGCATAGGGTGACACACAGGTTAAGACATAGGAAATGCTGGAGAACAGAGGTGCTACCAACCAAGTGGGCACAGCGAAACGTACCTGCACGTGTTTTGCGTGTGCATCTAGTGCAGGTTGGGGCAGCAGCGGTTGGTCGAACGGTTGGTGGAAGCAGAAGGAGGGAATGAACGGCCGTGCAGTGCAGCTATTAACTGCCTATGTACCGGATACACAAGGCCGGACAGTCTCCCACACCCCCTTGTGTCTTCTTGTTGCTCACGTCCCACTACCCCACCAGTCCCCTCTCCCCCTTCCCCTCCACCCCTCTCCACCCCTCTCCACCCTTTGCTCTCTCCCACTCGCCATTCCTGCGACTGCTGCTATTGTCCCCGCGCCACCGCCCTCCATGCGGTTCCCAGGACGACGACTCGTCCTCAGAAGAGTCCTCCTCGTACGACACCACGCCGCGCACCACCGCCAGCACCACCAGTGCCACGCCCAGCTCCGCCGCTCCCTCCGCCGCACCTTCCGCCGCTCCCTCCGCCGCACCCACCGCTGCCCCTGCTGCTGCCACTGCCGCTGCTAGCACTTCCCAAACTGCAACTGCTGGCGCTGCTTCAGGCGCGACTGCGGGAGCAGGAGCAGGAGCAGGAGCAGGAGCAGGAGCAGGAGCAGGAGCAGGAGCAGGAGCAGGAGCAGGAGCAGGAGCAGGAGCAGGAGCAGGAGCAGGAGCAGGAGCAGGAGCAGGAGCAGGTGCAGGTGCAGGTGCAGGTGCAGGTGGGAGCAGCAATGCAAGTGGGCGCGGGGGGCGCGGCGACAGTAAGCCGTCTGCTGCCTCCCCGCGGGTGACGGGCAAGGAAGGGGGTGGCGGGGGCGGTGGGATGTTCTTTTGGCGTTCCAGCAGCAGCAAGGACAAGGATAAGGACAGGGAGAAGGGCAAGGAGAAGGATAAGGGGAGTCTCATTCCCGCGTCGCCGCGATTCCGGTCCAAGAAAGAGCCCTCGTCGCCCGTGGTGCGCTCGCGTGACACGTCGCCCAGTAGGGACGCGACACGTGGGAAAGGGAAGGAGAAGGAAAAAGCGGCGGAGAAGGGCGAGAAGGGGGCGCGGGAGAGAGCGGAGGAGAGGCAGGAGGGTGAGGGGCGAGGTGGGGAGAAGGAGAGGGAGGAGGAGGACTGGATGGGAGGCGAGGGGGAGAGGCGGCAAGGGAGGAAGAAAGAGTCGGGAATCGACCAGGACTTGGAATGGCTGCGGCAGCAGGAGATGCAGAAACAGCAAGAGGAGAATCAGAGGCAGCAGGAGGAGTTGCGGAAGCAGCAGGAGGAGATGGCAGAGAGGAAGCGAGAGGAGGAGGAGGATGCGGGAGGGAGGGAGGGGGGTGCGGAGTGGGGTGGGCAGCAAAGCGAGGAGGAGGAGGAGTTGCGTCGGCAGGAGGAGGCGCTGGAGGAGGAGGCGAGGAGGGTGAGGATGGAGCGGGAGAAGCAGCGGCAGAGGAAGGAGGAGATGCGGCGGCAGCAGCAGCAGCAAGGCGGCGGGATGGGGGGAGCATCGGCGGACGTCACGCCCGCTCACAGCCCCGCGCTGCAAGGCAGGGCGGGTGGCTGGGATACGTGGGGAAGTGGCGCAGGGGACGGGCGCGGGGACGGTAGGGCGGGCGGGGGAGAGCGGGAGCCAGCGCGGTCGCCAGGGATCCCCCCGCTTGCGGGCGCCGCGCCTGTTGGGGCGGTGTCTCCGGGGAAGCTGCTGGGCGGGTGGAGCAAGCGCGCCAGCAGCAAAGACGCGCAGGAACAGGGCGCGGGGGGGGCTGATGCTTCCGCCGCTGGGGGCGCGGGCGCGGGGAGTGGCGCGCAAGGGGCGGCGCATCGCCTTCCCCCGGCAGCAGCGCCTGCGATGCTGCCCCCCGCTCCCGGCGCAACTACCGCCTCCCCCAGGGGTGCCCGGACCCCCTCGCCAGCTGGCACGCCTACTCACCGGCCAGCGAGGCAGTACGATGACGTGGCAGGGGCGGAGGGCGGCGGGATGGGCGGGGGCGGGGAGAGCTCCCCGTACAAGTATGGTTCCCCCAGTGAGCGGATGGGCGGGGTGGGCAGAGACAGCCCTGGCAATTACCGCAGCCCTGACCCTTCCCCAGGGATGATGGGTGCGGGGTACCCGTTCGGGGAGGGCGGAGGGGGAGGCGGAGAGGAGCGCAGCAGCTATGGCGGTGGCAGCAGCACCGGCGGTTACCCCTTTCAACCGGGAGCCGCCCCTGAGTCGCTCGCGCTGCCCGATGCTGCCAGTCCGGACGAGTCTCCCCGCTCTGGGGGATATTCCGGCAGCAGAGGCGCGCGGAGGGGGTACTTCGGCGCAGCAGATGCTGGCGAGCGGGGCGGAGCGGGCGGGGGGCAGGGCGCGGAGATGCACGTGCACAGGGACGGCGCGGGGGAGCTGGCGGCGGCGGAGGCGGCGATAGAGGAGCTGCAGCGCGACTGCGTCAAGTACCAGACCACCAGCCGCAACCTCTCCCGCGAGGTCGAGAGTTTAAGGGGGCAGCTCGCGGAGGCTTTCGTGCAGGACCAGCGCGCGGACATGGCGATCGGGCAGCTGAAAGACGAGCGCGATAGGCTGCAGGAGGAGGTTAATATGTTGAGGGCAGGGTTGGGGGGAAGGGGGGGTGGTGGCGGGGGGTTGTCCGGGGGTGCGGGGGAGGAGGAGGGGATGGATACGAACTCGTATGTGGCGGACGGGACGGAGAGTGAGTGGAGCGTGGGGGGCGGCGGGGGCGGGGGCGCGGAGGGGATGAGGCGCGTGGCGGGGCTGCTGGAGGAGGCGGAGTTCCTGCGCGGGACGGTGGGCGCGCTGTCCGCGCAGGTGGAGATGCTGCAGCGGGAGAACGAGGCGCTGATGGCGCAGGCGGAGCAGGCGGAGGCGGAGGCGGGGAAGTACCGGCGGGACGCGGAGGAGCTGTTTGAGGCGCGCCAGGAGACGGAGGCCGCGCTCAAGCGCGCGCAGAAGCAGGCGGACGAGCGCGAGACGGAGTGGCAGGAGCGCGTGCGCGCCATGGCGGAGGCGCAGGCGGCGCTGGAGGAGCAGCTGGCGGAGCTGCAGGGCGCGGGGGCATGGGGCGGGGGAGCGGGAGGGGGAGGGTCTGCCAGGCCGAGTCCCCTGGGCCCGAGGGGGAAGGGAGAGGGGAACGAAGGGGTGGAAGACGGTCTAATGCTCTCAGAAACGGTGGGGATGAGCGGAAGCAGCAGGAAGAGCCGGGGGGGATCAGGCGGGGACGGCGAGGCGGGCGGAGAGGGCGAGCGGGGGGGCGGGGGAGCGGGGGACGTGAGCGTGGTGGCGCAGCTGAGGCGGAAGGTGGAGGAGCTAGAGCGGGAGGCGCAGGAGTTGACAGCAGAGAGCCTGGAGCTGGCAGCCGGGCTGAACGTGGCGAATAAGGAGGGCGAGGTGAAAGACGCTCTGATAGAGCAGCTTCAGCACGAGTTGATCGCCGCAGGGAAGAAGGACTCCATTGCTACAGCCGCTGCTGCGTCCGGGTTCGCCGCGTTTTTTGCCAAGGGGAAACCCGAGGGGAAGAGCATGGAGAGTTTGATTAATTCCGGGCCGGCGGCGAATGAGAGGGATGTTGGGAAGCTGCATGGAAGGATCGTTGAGCTGCTTCAAGCGCTGAAGGAGCAGAGCAGGGAGGCGGAGGAGGCGCGGGAGGAGGCGGTGCAGCTAAGGAGTAAGATGCGCGTTAGTGAGATGGCTACTGCGAGGGCTATGGATAGGCTGAGTATTCTGGAGGAGTATGAGCGACGGGCGAAGCAGATGGAGGGGGAGTTGGAGGAGACGCGGAAGACGCTGGCGGCGCAGAGAAGGTTGAGGGAGGAGCAGGAGAGAAGGCATGTGGGGGAGGTGGAGCAGCTGAGGGAAGGGAAGCGGGATGCGGAGAACCGCGTGACGAGGTACGGAGAGGAGGTTCGGCGGCTGGAGCGGCAGGGAGAGGCGGCGGTGACACAGGTGGAGCAGGTTGGGGAGACGCTTCGGGAGTTTTTTACCACCTGGGGGGAGGAGAAGGGGACGGGGGACGAGGGGGAGACGCTGGGGGAGCAGGCAGAGGGGAAGGATGTGGCGGGGAAGGTGGGGGTGCTGGTGGGGGCGGCGGCGCAGTGGCAGCAGCGCGTGGGGGAGCTTGAGCGGGAGAGAGAGGCGCTAGAGGAGCAGGTGAAGGAGAGCGAGGCCCGCGTGCACGAGGTAGAGTCTACCTCCGGGGCGTGGCGGTCGGATAGAGGAGCGCTAGAGAAGCAGGTGAGGCGGTTAGATGAGCAGAGGCGGTTGGCTGAGTCGAGGGTTCAGGAGCTGGAGTTGCAGCTATCGGCCATGCAGGAGATGCTGGAGGAGGCGAAGGCAGAGGCGGGGGCGGCCGCTGCTGGGGGGGGGTTGGGTGGGGTAACGCTTGCTGACGTGGAGGCGCTGCAGGCGGCGAATCAGAAGGCGAGGAGGCGGATTCATGAGCTGGAGGGGCAGGTGAGGGGGCTGGAGGAGCGCGTGAGGGAGAAGGAGGCGCAGTTAGAGGTGGCGCTGGCCGCGGTTGCTGCTGCGACGGATTCAGCTGCTGCAGCGGCGGCTGCGGAAGCAGTGGGGAGGGCAGGGGCGGGTGGGGGAGCAGGAGCGGGAGCAGCAGGGGCTGGCGCGGGGAGGGCGGAGAGGGAGTTGGAAGACGCGCGGAGGAGGGTGGAGGGGTTGGAGGAAGAGATTAAACGCATGTCTGGGGAGCTGGCGCTGGCAGGTGTGAGCCGGCGTGAGCTGGAGATGAAGGTGCTGCGGCTGGAAGGGGCGTGTGGCAAGCTGGAGAGCGAGCTTCAGGAGGCGAATGTGGGGCGGCGCCGCGCGGAGGAGAGGCAGGCGGACGCGGAGGCGCAGCTGGCAGTGGCGGTGGACAGGGCGGAGACGCAGAGGGGGCTGGTGGGGGAGCTGGAGGAGAAGGTGAGTAAGGGCGCCGCGAGGGAGGAGGCGTTAGAGCAGTATGTGGCTGTGGTTGAGGGGAAGGTGAAGGAGGGGGAGCGGGAGAGGGAGCGGTTGGAGGGGAAGGTGAGGGAGGAGGAGGAGAGGAGGCGAGAGGTGGAGGGAAGGGTTGGGGAGAGTGAGGCGGCGGTAGGGAGGGCGAGAGAGGAGGCGGAGAGGGAGGTTGGGGAGGCGAGAAGATTGGTAGAGGAGATGGAGGCACGGTTGGAGGTGGGGGAGGCGGAGAGAGAGAGTGCGGTGGCGAGGGCTGTGAGGGCGGAGGAGGGGCAGAGGCGGGAGAAGGCTGAGAGGGAAGCGGCTGTGGAACGGTTGACCAATGAGGTGGCGCTGCTGACTCAGCAGCTCTCGGCGTTATCTGAGGGGGGGAGTGCGGGCGAGGGCGGCGACAGGCTGTCTGCGGTTGAGGCCGCGGAGCTCCGGGCGGCGAAGGGCGAGCTAGAGGACAAGCTGCGCCGTGCGGAAGGGGATTTGAGGGAGGCGGTGAGGGAGAAGGTGAAGCTGGAGGGGGAAGTGCGGGCGGCGAAAGAATCAGCGGCAGAATCAAAGGTCAGGGAGGGGACTCTCTTGGGGGAGGTGGAGGAGCTCAAGAAAGAAGTGGCGGCGGCAGCAGAGGCAGCGGCTGAATTGACTCGCGTAAGGGAGCAGCACGAGCAGGTAGCAGCACAGCTAGCCAAAGCGGAAGCTTCGGTGAAGGAGCTACAGGTGGCGAGGGAGGAGCTGGAGCAGGAGCGCAAGGGGCTGGTGCAGCAGAGCGTGGTGCTGCAGGGCAAGGTGAAAGAGCTTGAGAGAGTCAAGGGGGAATTGGCCCAGGCCAGGACTGAGCGACAGGTGCTGGAGGAGAGAAGGCTAGCGCTGGCGATGAAGCTGGCAAGGATAGAGGAGAGTATGGAGGAGCTGGAGGATTTGAGGGCACGGAGTGCGTCTGTGGAGGGGGAAATGGGGCACCTGGCGAAGCAGGCGGAGCAGGTGCCGGGGCTGCTGGAGGAGCGGGAGAAGCTGCAGGGGAGGGTAAGGGAGCTAGAGGGTCGGGCGACGGAGCTGGAGGCTCGCGTGGGTGAGATGGAGGCAGCTGCTGCTGCGGCGGCGGCTGTGGCGGTGGCGGTGGGTGGGGGTGAGAGTGAGGGGGATGGTGATGCAGCGGCGGCGGCTGCGACAGCAGCTGCGGCAGAAGCGACAGTTGCGGCAGAGGCAGCTGCGGCAGCAGCAGCAGCGAAAGCAGAGGCGCTAGTGGAGGAGGTGCGGCAGCTGAAGCAGCAAAACGCGGAGCTCAAGCGAGCACTCACCGAGGGTAGCAGCAGTGGTGCTGGTGGCGCTGGTGGGATGGAGCCTTCCCCCCAGGGCAAGGGTAGCAGGCCTCTGGGCGCAGGGGCGGGGGGCATGGGGGGGATGGGCGGAGGGGGAGCAGCAGGGGGTGCGTTCGCCCGCGGGCGGATGGGGGGGATCATGGCGTCGCGGGGGGGAGGCGGCGAGGCGGCGCTGGAGAAGCAGGTAGAGGAGCTGAGGAGACGCACGGTGGCATTAGAGGGCGAGGTGGGGCGCAAGGCAGAGGCGCTCGCTGCTGCTGAGAGGCGGCTGCTGGAGCTGGAAGGGAGCGGGGGGAGTGGTGTTGGGGGAGCAGAGGCGCGCGGGGGGGACATGGATGCCGCAGCAGAGGAGCGCATCAAGACTCTTGAGGTGAACCATGCCCATTGAACACTGCTTCCACACGGTGATTTTCGGCTCAACACTACTCCCACACTGATCGCTCGCTTGTGTTTTACCGTTTGCGATCACCCCCGTTTGAGAGTTGAGTCACTCTCTCCGGTCCAAGTCGACGCAAACCACCCTGTTTGGTCCTTGTCCGTTGCTGATTTCTCGCTCTCTCCTGTCCCTGCTCCCCTCTCTACAGGCGCAGGTGGAGGTGTTGCAGCAGCAGGTGGAGCAGCAGAGGGCGGTGGCAGAGGCGAGGGAGTGCAGCATGGGGGAGTACGTGGCGCTGCTCACCGCCACCAACGACTCTCTGGCTGCCGGCACTGACACTGCCACCATGCAGCTCAACCAGGCGGTGAGTGCCGTGGTGGTTGTTGCGAGTCAACATGCATGTCAATCAAGGGGCGAGGGAGGGCAGCATTGGGGAGTACGTGGCGCTGCTCACCGCCACCAATGACTTGCTTGCTGCTGGCACTGACGCTGCCACCATGCAGCTCAACCAAGCGGTGAGTGCCGTGGTGGTTGTTGCGAGTCAATATGCATGTGAATCAAGCAGCGAGGGAGGGCAGCATGGAGGAGTATGTGGCGCTGCTCACCGCCACCAATGATTCTCTCGCCGCCGGCACTGACGTTGTTACCATGCAGCTCAACCAAGCAGTGAGTGTTTGGTGGTGGTGACTTTTGAGTCGACTGACGAGAAATGCATATGCTCTCGTGCATGCAGGATCTCGTAGCATCACTCGTCAGTGATTTCATCACTGCTGCACTGATCCCACTCCATAATCGCAAATCTATCTCCCTTATTTTCTGAGGTGACTCAAAAGCCGTCCCACGTTTGTTTCCCCTGTGCACTCCCCATCCCCTGCAATGCAGCTGCTGAAGGTGCAGCAGCAGGTGGGCGAGGTGAGGGAGAGGGAGGCGGAGCTGAGGGCAGCAGCGGCGGTGCACGACGCCACCATCCTGGAGCTAAAGGAGGTGCGTAGCAGTGCTTACTCCTAGTGCTTAGTGCTCAGTGCTTGATGTGTGTACACAAGTACACAAGTTGCAGCCACACAATGACACCATGGCACCTACTTGGTGCTCTAGCGGTGCACAACGCCACCATCCTGGAGCAGTAGTGTGGTCAGAGTGATCAGTGCATCAGGCGTCTCAAAAGAATGCTCTCTTTTTGCCTCTGCCCTTTAAGCCATGGGGTGATTATGAGCAGTGGCATGGCGGAGATCTTGGTTTCATGTGCCATACGTCATACACCATTCCACAACCCACTGTTCAACATCCCTGTCTACATATTCTTCCTCCACTGCCCTTCCCCATGGCCCATCTGTCACAGGAGGTGGCACGGCTGCAGAAGAAGCTGTCGCAGCTTCCGTTGTCTTTCACTGGCCTCCTCCGCTTGCCCATTCTTTTCCCTTGCTTTCCCCAACTTTCTTCCACTACTCCCCCCTACCCCATTGCTACAGGAGGTGGCGAGGCTGCAGAAGAAGCTGTCGCAGCGCATGCGGGGGGGAGGCAGCGTGGCGGGGGGCAGTGGCATGGTGGAGCGCATGGCGCTGCTGGAGGCAGAGCTGGCAGAGGCCATGGAGAGCAACCACAAGTACAAGGAGCAGCTCAAGAGGTGCGTACGTGGCGAGAATTATGATACTTGAGTGAGAATGCTTTGTTCAGAGACTGGCTTGAGTGCACCATTGGAGGAGTTCCTTGTGGTTGGAGTTAAGGTGGGTGGGATTGCTCCCTTAGATGTCAGGCTCTTCCACTTTAAGGGATGCAGAGATCAGGGTTTGAAACAATTCTCGTCGCTTTTTCTTTGCCTGTCCCGTTCCGAACCCAACTGCCTGCCACCCAGGGCCTTGGGTGGGACGGGGAATGGAGTCGGTACTCAGCCCCCTGAAGCTGCTGCTGCTGCACCTATTCCAGCCAGCCCCACCAAGCCAGCCGCAGTTACCGCCCTGGGAAATGATGCAGAAAGGTCACCTCAGATGAAGGGGAGGGCAGTCAGCACCAGCCCCATGAGCGGTGCTGGCAGTCCCATGATGGGAGGAGGTAGAAGACTCGGCACTGCCTCCCCTGCGGCTAAGCCAAGCCCATTTGGGCGGAGGTAATGTGACCCTTTTTAGAATAACGAAAACCCTAGAGGCGTTTTAACTTCCCTCTTGACAGACAAAAGTAGTTAAATCTCTGATGTATGTCTTGTTATGCAGTGTCTGGTCTGGTCATATGTTGTGTAGTAGATGTTTGACTGCAATTTTAACCCTAAACGCACAACACAGGAAGCTTGTACTGTATGGTGAACAACGTGGCTCGGCACAACATCAAGGCATTGCGGACATTACAACACGTTCATCAGCAACCAATTTGCGAGAAATCTTCCTTCGTCAACATGCATGTCCGCAAATCAAGTGTATCCAAGATATTCCTGTTGACGAATTCGGGGTTGTTACCCCATTGCACTGGGTTCTGACAGCGTCCGCGACAGCAGTGCACGAGCAGAATCGTGCACGCTTGGCGCGAAAAAAGCATCGTTGAAACTTTCACCTTGAAAGGTCAAGTTAAAAAAAAAAAAAAACAAAAAAAAACAACGTCCGTGCTTTCACTTCATACTCTGTCCCTCGCATTGATACAGCAGTTGTTTTTTCCAGCACACACCACAAAACTCGACTCGGGTTGAAACGTTGGTCATTTGGTGACACACATCGCGACTGTGACTGTCACAGTACTGTATTACCCTGGATAGAAGCGCACATGCGCTTATAATAAAGCATAGTTTTTTAGGGGGGTGCGCTTCTAATTGAGTCATTTTTATAAGCGCATGCGCTTATATAATTACATATACATATATGTAAATTTTTAAAAGTGTGTAACACTTTTCAAAATTTTGTATTGTGAAAGTGTAGCGATTGCCAACGCAGCAAAGGCAGCGTCGCATCGCTACTCGCCCTCTTTTGGCTACAAAAGAGGGGGTTGAGGCCATTCGGCCTCACCCACGTTCTTCTTTTCAATTTCGAAGTTTGAGTTTTTCAATCTCGTCCAGTCTGGCGAAGACGCAGTCCCTCCCTCGCTTCACCGCCCCGACGACTCTACTTGCGGATATTTTTAAGTACAACATCGGAGCCATGGCGCCGGCGAACAACACTGCTAATCGCGAGGGCAACAAGGCGACAGACACTCCCGTCGCCGCGAACGCCAACATTCTGCCCGGGACTGTGAGAATAGTAGGCGAGAATGGTTTACTAGGAAGTGACGAGGGGTACAAGTAGAATGTCGAGAGAAAACTGTACCCCCTAAGGCTAAACCCACTATAGCCTAGACAACTGTAAACACATAAACTAAGCCTAGATATAACTAAGCATATATGTTTGACACACCCCCATAGGCGAAGTGGGGGATAACCAGAACAAGTAATGGTCACAGGACCAGTCAAGAGAAGAAGCAAAGCACAGCATGAGAAACTTAGAACGAGAGAATGGATTGACTAAGGAATGAAAGTGATACAAAAGGTGAAAAGCTAGAATTGTGTACCCCTTAGTGTCTAACCCGCTACAGCCTACACAGGCTAGATCATATAAGTTTGACACACCCCCATAGGCAAAGTGGGGGAGAACAAGGGGTCACAAGACCAGTCAAGCAAAGTAAGGCAAAGCAAGCTCAGGGTGGATCACAACGTCACCACACATTCTGAGCACAAGTTCAAGGCCACAAGGCCAGTTCACATGCATGTGTACACACATATATATAACGCTAAACAAGCAAGAGCAGGTATATATATATATGTAACAGTACAAGCAAGGTCAAGAAGTGAGCAAGTGAGGCAAGGTAGGTACAAGACCTAACAGAGTACAGAAGCGCTGATGGTCACAAGGCGCAAGTGCCTTGGTGAAGATATCAGCAGTGTTGGCCTCAGAGGCCACGTAAGCAAGGCGCAGCTGACCTCGCTGCTGCAGCTCACGAGCAAGGAAGTAGCGAAGAGCGATGTGCTTCGTTCTGTGCTCCAGTCTGTGCTCCCGACACAAGGCCAGCATAGCCTTGTTGTCCACGTACAGAACTGGAGGAGAACGAGGCGGCTCTCCTAGGTCAGTCAGCAGGTAGGTGAGCCAGCGTAGCTCCTGTGCAGCCATGGCCCCTGCGTAGATCTCAGCCTCACAACTGGAGCCGAGAACAGAAGACGAGCGGGTAGACCGCCACGAAACAGAGCCGGAGCCAAGGCTGAAGGTGTAACCCTGTGACGACCGCTGCGTAGCCTGGTCGTCAGCCCAAGAAGCGTCCGCGTGACCTGTGAGGACCACTCGACGTCGCCCTCCAAGCACTAGCCCCATGCCCGACGTACTGCACAAGTAGCGCAACACCCTCTTCGCTGCAGCCATGTGTTCTGGTCGGTGTCTCCCAGGAGCAACATAGCGTGCCAAGATGCTAAGAGGGTATGCAAGGTCAGGTCGTGTGCAGGTCATCAGGTACATGAGGCAGCCAACAAGCTCTGGGTACGGGCCACTCGGCTCTACGGACTCATCCGAAGGCAGAGCTGAGAGCGAGTGGCGAGTAGACAGAGGAGTGGCCTGAGGCGAGGAGTACGTGAAGTCGAAGCGCTGAAGGACCTGCTGCACCATGTGTGACTGAGTCAGGGTAATGGTGCGCTGTGCTCTGTCCCGGGTGATCTGCAAGCCAAGGTAGCTGCGCAGTTCACCCAGGTCTGTGCACGTGTGTCTCTTCTGCAGCTCAGACTTCACGTGTGCGAGTCCAGCAGTGTCAGCAGTGGCAAAGACCAAGTCGTCGACGTACACGAGGATGTAGAACGGCGGCAAAGAGGTGTCGATGCGCAGAAACAGCGACGGGTCGGCAGTAGAAGGAGCAAACCCAAGAGCCGCAAGTGTAGTCCTCAGTGTGTCGTGCCACTCACGAGGTGCCTGGCGGAGACCGTAGACTGGCCGCCGGAGACTCCACTGGGTACCAGGAGGAAAAGACCCAGTGAAGCCAGGTGGGCGGCGCAGCCAGATCTCCTCGTGCAGGCTGCCCTGCAAGAAAGCAGTGCTGAAGTCAAGAGAGTGAAGCTCGTAGTCACGGTGAGCGGCTATGTGCAGCAGTACCCGAAGAGTGGTCATCTTTGGGGTGGGAGAGAAGGTCTGAAAGTAGTCAACTCCCTGCTGCTGACTGAAGCCACGAGCCACGTAGCGCGCCTTGAAGACAGGCGGAGAACCCGGCGGCCGCTTCACCCTGAAAATCCACATGCCACTGACGATGTTCGCCCCAGGAGGGGGAACCTCGTCGACGTAGGTGCCTGTGGACTTCCAGGAAGCCATATCTGCATCCATGGCTGCCTGCCACTGAGAGGAGTAGGGACCCTCTATCGCCTCCGCGTAAGAGCGCGGAGTCGGGATGTCTGGTGCATCCGGGTCTCCCTCAGGGGCAAGCAGCATGGACACGAGATGAGGTGAAGCAGCAGCAAAGCACTGGAACTCCTCCTGCCTGTCCTCAAGGACGTCCGTGCCAAGGGCACACTCACCCCCGACGGACGGAGGACAGACAGACTCAGACTCAGCGACAAGACTAGCAGCGTAGTCTAGGCGACAGCGAGCAGCGAAGTCGACAAGCTTCGAAACTAAGGCAGACGCAGCAGCGGACTCAAAGGAAGGGTCAGTGACGACAGTAGCAAGGAGATGCGTGACAGCAGGACTGGCAGCACGAAGGGAGTCCGACTCCGGGTCAGCAAGAACAGGAAGAGAGGACTCAGGAAGAGAAGGCAAAGGGGCACGCAGCGGAGCAGTGGAGGGACGCAGAGACATCCGGTGCGTGCCGGGGACAGGGGGAGGACGCTGACGCCGCGGTCGTGCAAGCCAATCATCCGTGTTGGCTTGTTTCGCTGTCGGCTGTATACGCCGGTGCCTGGCATAGAGGGTAGCTCACCGCGCAAGTGTCTGGCTCCCACCCTTTCGCCCCTGCTTGTCCCAGGTACGAGCTCGATCGCCTCGGAAAGGCCGACAAGGTGGCGCTGATGCGCGCAGCGAGCCTTCGCGCCGCTAGGACGGCGTCGAAGCCGGACTATCTGATTTTGGGCATGTTCTTCGACTTCGAAATCGCAGCCATCCCCCTGTGCACCGCGTGAGTGTTCCGCGCCCGTGAGGTTTGATCGTCGCCGACCGCGTTGCTTTTTGTTCCCGGACAGAACACTGAACGTCTTCGACTTGCCTCGTGTGTGTTCAAGAATGGACCTCTCCCCGGCACACACTGCAGCGTCTTGCTTGTCGTGCGCCCTGACTACCCGCTTTTGCCCGACGAGGAGGAGATCGGGACCTTCTATCGCCACCTCGACCCCAAGACCTCCTACAAGCTGCACAAGAGGAGGCGGCCAAGGTTTTGAGGTGGGATTTACGTTGCCGGCTAGTCGCGTTCCTCTTACAAGCGATTATGCCGCCGTGCCTGATGTCTCTTGTCCGTCTCGTACGTGCGGAGTTTTATCGGCGCAGCCACGAAGGCGGAGTTGAACCGTCCGGATAGGGTGTGGACGGCAAAGGCTCCTTCTGCCAAGGTCCTCTCCGCACGTCTGACGAGTCTTGTTGCCCCCATCCGTGATGTGAGTTTCTGACTTCGATTTCGCCTTGTCGCTTGAGCTATCGACGTGGAGCCGTCGACTCACCATTTTGGACCGCCATGTGCTTCGTCATTGATGCAGAAATTACCCGACATCCTCAGGCAGGAGGCCGCCGGCACGGGGCTGCTGTCGGTCAGCGCGTTCGCGTGGTCGTTGGGCCATCTGGACGACCTGCATTGCAGCTACGATCCGCTGAACGTCGAAAACCCGAAGCAGGTCTGCATGAAGGCCCTCCGACAGGCGCTGGTGCACCACGTTGAGAGAGCCTCGATGAACAAACGGGCGGCGTTGACTGTAAGTCATGGCGTGGGAACTAGCATCGCTCTGGGTGAGGGGGCCGAGGAGGCGACGGCGGGGTCGCACTCGGGCAGGCACGGACCCACAGATGGCGGCGAGGAGGAGCACAAGGAGGACGGCGGGGAGCAGGATGGTGTGTCGAAGGAGGAGGAGGAGGTAGAGCATGAGGACGACGACGTGATGGTCACCGGCGAAGAGGAGGCTGTACAGTTCGCCGGTGAGAAGGTTGCGGATAAGAGCGGAGACAGCGGACCCAAGTCAGGCAAGAAGGCGCGGGCGAGCGGTGGCTCTACTCCTACCATGACTACGATGGCGTCGAAGGCGGCCTTGGAGCGGCTGAAGGCGGCGGAGAGGGAGAACAAGAAGCTGAGGGAGGAGAAGCTGGTGGCGGAGAAGATGCAGGATGACCAGCGTGCCCGGATTGACCGGCTGTTTGATGTGGTGAACATGGCCGTCCAGAAGCTCTCGTCGGTCACCGAGAACCAGTGGGATGAAATTGAATCTCGGCTGCACAAATTCAGGCTGGGGGAATGGGAGAACCTGTACAACGAGGCAGTCAACATCCCACCGAACCAGGAAGCGGTCAGGCACCATTTTGATGCCACGAGACTTTGTTCCAGGGCGGAGGGACTTGTTCACAAAGGCAACCTTTCCAAGGCATGCGCGGCATTACAAACTACCCCCTTGGCGAAGGCCACAGTAGAGACAGTCGCAGCCCTGCGAGCGAAACACCCGGAGGCACTGTTACCAACGCCGTTCTGGGTGGCAAGCGAGCTGAACTCGAAACTTACCGTCGGCCAGGAGAACCTTCGTGGAGTCTTGATGAAGTGTCCCAGTGGCGTTGGTGCGGGCCCATCAGGAACCTGCTTCGAACACCTGTGCGAACCTGCTTTGGGAAACGAGGAGGTTCTTACACTCCTTCGAGGTGCAGCTAACCACCTGCTGAGCAACTTCGCCCCTCAGCCAGTACTCCTTCCCTCTCGACTAATAGCCCTCGAGAAACCAGGAGGTGGAGTTCGTCCCATCGCCATATGAGAAACTATACTACGCATAGCGGCGAAAGCAGCACTTTGTGAGCCAGGGCCGTCGATCAGGAGCTTCTTCCTCCCGGTTCAGCTCGACATGGCCGTTCAGGGAGGCGCTGAGTGCATTATTCATTTTGTACGCGCGTTGCTCGACGAAGACAGCTCCCATGTAGCCCTCCAGATAGACGTAGAAAATGCATTCAACAGTGTGGAGAGGGCGGCGTTTATGAACGCACTCCAGTGGTCCGAACTCAACCCTTTGATCCCGCTGGTACGGAACCTCTATGATGGTGCGTCCCCACTGCTTCTCGATGTGGCGTTCGGCGAGGAGAAGATCGTAAGCACGAGAGGTGTTCGGCAAGGCGATCCCTTAGGACCGCTACTGTTTGCTGCTGTCATCCAGCCCACACTTCTCCATGTCGCCATGGCCTTTGCGGAGGTTGTGGTTGTTGCGTGCGCGGACGATATCACGGTGGTGGGCCCCCAAAAGCGGCAAAGAGAGCGTTCGACCTCCTAGTGAGCGGCCTGCAGCGCTGCGGGCTACGCTGCAACTACTTGAAGTCGACGGTGTGGGGGCCTAGCCTAGGTGAAAGAGTAATCGAGCTACTTGAGGGCATAGAGGCGGATTGAGGAGGGATCAAGGTACTTGGTACTCCCTTAGTTGAAGGACATGCCACACAAGGTGGGACAACTCCAATGCTGATGCTCTGCAAGCCGCTTAGTCAAGAAATCCGCAGGTTGCTTGGTAGTGTTGATGTAGTGCAAGGAGATGGTGCCCTTCTTCACCTCCTTCCTCACCCAATGCCACTTGATATGCATGTGCTTGTTCAGCCCATGGAGCACAGCATTACGCGCCATTGCAATTGCTCCTTGGCTGTCACAAAACACAGGTGTGGGACCCTCTTGCTCCTGCCCCAACTCCTCAAGCAACCTCCTCATCCAAACCACCTCCTTCACTCCATGAAACAACGCCATGTACTCGCTCTCTGTTGATGAGTGAGCTATCTCTCCTTGTTTCTTAGACTTCCAACTCACTGGAATCCCTCCAACACAGCATATATAGCCACCATGGGATGTAGCATCACTGATGTCACTTGCCTAGGTAGCATCGGTGAAACACGAGAGGTACAAATGCCCACGCCTTGCAGGTGCACTTGTGCTCACCTCCTCCACTCCCTTTTGCTTCAGCTGCCCATGCACTGAATATTGCAGCCCCACCCTTGAGGTTGCCATGCAGTACCTCACCAGCCTCTCTGCTGCATCCAGGTGCTCTTGAAGGGGCCTAGACACCGCACGAGCGAGCTGTGAAACTGAAAACGCAATGTCGGGGCGAGTGTTGACCGAAGCGTACATCAAGCTCCCCACCATTGACTGGAATCGACGCTGCAACTCGTACTCCAACACCTCACCCTCCTCTTCATCAAGGTGCAGCTGAAACCCTGAAGGTAGAGGAGTCTTCACACTCCTCCCTTCCTCCAGCCCATACTTCTCCCCCATGGCTGCAAGGTACTTGTGTTGGTGAAGCCTCAACCATCCCTTCACCTCGTCCCGCTCCACGTGAAGACCAAGGTAATACCCCACTGGTCCAAGGGCCTTGCATTGAAAGGTCTCCTTCAGCTTCCCTTGCACCTCCTTGATCCTCTCCAGGGATGGAGAGAAGAGGAGGATGTCATCGACGTAGACAAGGAGAAATACCTTCTCCTCCCCCCCCTCGGTCATGAAGAGACTCTCGTCGCACCCGCTAACTTTGAAGCCAAGAGCCTCCAACGCCTCCACCAGCCTTGCATACCAGCACCTTGGAGCTTGTTTGAGGCCATAGATGGCCTTGTTGAGCCTGCAAACACGTCCGCTCTCATCATCATACCCCTCTGGCTGCTTCATGTAGATCTCCTCGTCTACCACGCCATGGAGGAACGCCGTCTTCATATCCATTTGCTCCACCTTCCAGCCACAAATGGCAGCGGCTGCTAGCAACAACCGGAGCGTAGGAGCCTTGGCAACAGGAGCAAACACCTCTTGGAATTCAATCCCCTCCCTCTGCTGAAAGCCTTTGATCACAAGCCTTGTCTTGCGCCTCTCCAACCTCCCCTCCGCATCGGTCTTCACACGTAACACCCATGTGCAGTCCAATGCCTTCCTTCCTGGGGGCAGATTGGTAAGGGTCCACGTTTCATTCTCCATGTGGCTCTGGAACTCATCCTCCCTTGAAGCCAGCCATGCCTCTCGATCATCTCCAGCAAGAGCTTCCTCCATTGACGCCGGCTCATGAGGTAAGTTGACGCCAAAGCAACAAATCTGCTCCATCTCCCCTTCGGCTCCCTTCTCCTCCTCATCATCCTCTTCCTGGACCAGCAATGCCTTGGGAACCCCAAGCATTTCATAGTTGAGGAAATCCCTTGGGTGGGCAGCTCTCTTGGGCCTCTCCTTGGCTCCACCACGGACAGCATCACACTTCCCTTGGGTTGTGCGCCTTGGTGGAAGCTTAGGGGATGGTGTAGGCTGCTGCACCTCCTCCTCGGTATCACCTCTCTCAGCTACAGGGGCCTCCCCTTGCTGCAATACTTCTTCCACATCTGCTGCCTCCCCTTCAGCACCTCCCAAGTAATGTGACACCTCTGTCAACTCTGAAGATGAGGACAAGTCGATGGGAATGAGAAGTAGGTCGTTGGTTCCCACCTCTATTCCAAGCGGAATGGTGACCTTGCTAGAACATGCCGCCATGTCCGCCAGCACCTCCATCGCCCTCCTCACTGCCCATGCCTTCTCCCATAGCTCCATGAACACCTTTAGAGCCTTCAATTGATGGCTGACCAGGCCTCCAACCGTCAGGTAGCTTGCGACACTTAAACCATGGGTGACCTTCCACATGGCAATACCAACACTTGCCGCCACACCGCTTGCCTCCCTTGTTGCTACGCTTCCTTCCCGAATACTGCTCCCCTCCAGAGCCTTCCTTGGCCTTGCCTTTCTTGCTGCCACGTCCCTTGAACCCTTTCATGCCGTAGGCAGAGCCTCCACCTTCACCGGCAGCGGCAGTCAGCTCCTTCCTCTGAAACTCCTCTTGAAGGACTTGAGCACGGATCCACTCAAGGGACCATGAGTCCTTCATGCCATTGAGGTTGACCACCAAGGGGCCCCACGACTCCGGCAGTAGGGAGAGAGCCTTGTAGCACTTGATCTTTTCAGGGTAGTCCACACCAGCAGCTGAGAGCTTCACATAGAGGTCCCAAAGTTGATCGAACGCTCCTTGCACGGCATCACCCTCGTTGATCTTCACCGCATGGAGTTGTCGTTCGAGCACCACTACCATCGCTTCGCTGCTGGGGGCATGGACATCCTTCAATATTTTCCATGCCTTGGGACCACACTGGATATCCTTGATGAGATGCTTAACATGGTGCAGCTGGTTGGATGAGAGGCATTGAGAGAGAAGGAAGAATCCATCCTTGGATCGGCGATCCCATTCCTTGGTCACTCCTTCGCTCGCAGACCTCTTCAATTCTCCATCCATCACTTCAAGCAGCCCATAATGGTTAAATAGAAGCTCCATCCTGAAGCTCCATGATGCCCAATCCTCCCCATAGAACTTTTCTAGGTTGAATGCCTTCACATTATCCTTGGCTGGTGTTGAAACGGATGCTATTGGTGCAGATCCGCCAGCAACGCCTCTTCCTGCTTCCCCAGCGCCTCTCACGCCACCACTGCCACTAGGACCAGCTGGAGCAGAACCTTCAGCCTCCATATTGACCCAAGAACAGAGAAGAACCGGCTCTGATACCACTTGTTATAGTCTAGAGTCCACTTAGGGGTCGCGGATGCCCTTGAAACCGCCTAAGCAGAATCTGATGACTTCGAACTGCCTCTGTTCAAAACGACGTCACGATCAGCTCCGATAACATACGAAGCTGAAACTTGGAGAGAAGTTAGCTTCAGGTGTTTGATTTCCAACGGTATAATGCTTGCATTCATCAGAGGTGTATGCGCTACGCAGTGAACAAAAACGTAAGCTCGGCTGAAAACTTGCCTAGTTTCATTGATGCAAGGAAGAGGTGAGTACAACATTGCCTAGGGAACTCTTAAGGGGTTGGGACCATCCTGGGAACTCAGAGAAGGTTGAGTCCTGGGGGAGAAAGGCTAGAGAAGGATGGGAAACATCCTAGCTAGGTCAGCAAAGCCAACCACACTTGGATGTTCAGAGCTGTACTCAAGGCTACCAATAGTGAGTCAAGCCAACCATGAGTCAGCTTGTCTTCCCACTTGCACCCTCTTGCAAGCTGCTTCCAGGAAGACCACACTTCTCAAAAGGAGGGTGGTAGAGTCCTACTTGACCACCTGTAATTCTTGTCTCATTCTCTGTCCTTGCACCATTGGCATGACAACAATGAAAGGGTGGCAAGGGAAATGCTGCCAACAGTGCACCATAACTACGGAACAGTAACTTTCGACAGCTGTCACGTGCTGCTCCGATGCTGGGTTGTCCTGAAACTCGGTGACCACTTGCACAACATGGCGAAAAACTGCCACACCGAATTTCAGACCAATCAGAGCTTGGTAGATGAGTCAGCAGCCGAAATGGTGAACTCGGGTGTTACCAAAAAAGAGTAACACACACTTCCGGGATGCCATAAGTCTTGAAACCAAAAAATGTTGCCATGCCTTGTAAAATGCTTAAAAAAATCTGAAACTTTGAGGGTCTGAAGAACACATGTTGAAGCACCTCCCCACAAAATTCCAGAAGCTGATCAGGCTTGTAGGCTGAATGGGAGTGCAATGACCGTGCCACTATAGTGCTTTGGCACAACAAACTCCCCCTCATCGTGCTCTCATTCATCCCTTAGCTGCTCCCTGAAGCTGCCTCCCTTAGTTGAAGGACATGCCACACAAGGTGGGACAACTCCAATGCTGATGCTCTGCAAGCCGCTTAGTCAAGAAATCCGCAGGTTGCTTGGTAGTGTTGATGTAGTGCAAGGAGATGGTGCCCTTCTTCACCTCCTTCCTCACCCAATGCCACTTGATATGCATGTGCTTG